TAATGAAACTTCGCAACAACTATCAACTCTTGCTGTATTAGTCCATGGTAAATGTGAACACGTTTTGCACTGATTACTTTAGAACATTTATTATCCAATGATATTTCATAAAGTCTTCAGGTTTAACTTCATAACCATATCTGTGCCATCTATTAAAATATTCCTTTTTTGGCTTTATATTATCAACTTTTATTAACTTCCAACAATCAAAGCAAATGGCCATTTTACTATTGTGAACATTAGGTTTGTGATAACTAATCAGAATCTCTTTTCCTGTGCAGTTCTCACAGTATATCTCAGTTACTCATTTCCCAAATGATCTGAAAAGACAGAATACATGATAATAACTACTATATTTTTCATTAATTAATATTCGCAAAGTTGATCTTATTCGATTAGCCCATTGTTGTGGAATTTCATGCGATCTAATTATAGATAAATTATCAAATTTTTTTTCTGCCTCAAGTGCCTTTTCAAAGTCAAAAGGAGTGCTATAACCGATATATGCATAATAATTTTTAATATATTCCATTTCATAACCAGGATGAAGATTAGTGGATTTAGGCACAGATTTATTAAAAATATTGACTAAAATAATATAAATACATTTATTAGGCCTTAGTCTGTTAATATGGGTTTCTGACATATTTAACGATTTATAGTGTTTTAGCGAATTCTAGCAATTCTTTAGCAACTTATACTAGATAATATCATCATTCAAATTTATACAGATTTACTGATTAGCGATTAGCTGATTTGTGAGATTACATGCTAGTAAATCCTTTTTTCGATTATGCTCTTATTCAGAGTGAAATATTGGTATGATTCAGCTAAATTAAATCTGATCACCATAGATGGCTAAATTATGTACAGCTAAACTATAAAATTTGTATCACATATGATCTCCCTAAATCCCTGCCAGTTTCTCGATAATTCTAGGAGCTGGCGAGTTTCTATAAATCACGAGATGATCAGCCAATCAGATTTCACCTCCCTTGATCTATTGACATGATAGTTAAGCCACCGTTATTATTTGATTAATCATTATATTGATCAATTAATTTGCCTCGCAATGATCCTAACACATCACTCGATATTATTTTATAAAACAAACCAAAGGATTTATATAGGTTATATGCTAATTTTATATTTATATACAGTACATTGCAGATAAATTTAGCGAGAAAGTGTACTTATACATATGATTTTACTTTGTGATTTTGTGATTACATGTGATACATGTGATGAAAATAAATCGTTGCAACTAATAAAAGTTATAGATAATCCTACCTTTTGTTGTTTTTTATTATATGCCAAACTATGTAAGTAACGTCAGAGACGACCATCATTGTTTCTCTTCTTTTGTGGTGAAGCATTTGGTGGGTTATCACTTGGCGAACGCACTACTTTATGGAAATTAGCCATATGTTCTCGATGATATATCATAATTCTTATCTGCATGAAAATATTATATAGTGAGTACATAATACTTATGTTAAAAACCATCTAAAATATTACCTT